CACATTGAACACTGTTACCTTCCCACCAAAGATGGCTCCTATTTTTCTACTTGCATTTTTACATGCTTTCGAACTGCTAAGTGGGCAGAAGCCGGGACAAGTAATGGAAGCTCACTCCGTTACATGGCACTAGGGATTCGAACCACCAAATTGCCGATCTTCCTGATTGACAAACTCAGGGTCTTAGCCACTGAGCCACCTACCTGCATCACACAGATTTTGAGGTTATAAACTAGGAATAAGCCCAGGAGGAGAATTTTAATTTTTCAAACCCTTAAAACTGCTTCATCAAGTTTCAGTAATAAAATGGTTAAGAAGAAACACCACTATTTTCAACCATTTTAAAAACTGAAGTAATATCTGAATTGTAATATAAACCCTGAATGTAACAATTTTATTTTTTTAAAAAGCTTTTCAACCTGAAGAGGGTAGGAATGGAGATAACATTCCTGCCCACTTCTGCCATAAATCACTACTCCCAAAACATTATAACTGGCTTTATAACATCACACCAACCTAAAATGAAAGAAATTAAATGTTTGATTAATAGATGTAAAATCCTTTTATATCCTTAAATTATCATAAGAATTTATTTCATATATAAGCCATTTTCGCTACCCAAGCATCTTGCAATAATTTGAGTATAAATCACCAGCACAAATTAAGGTCATATGTTGAAGAATCTTAATTTTATACGGCAGGAAATGAACTGCTGGGGATATTTTTTATTGTAGTGTCTCAGAATCTGGCTTTCGTGCCATATTTTTATTGTATTTTTAAAAAGAACCTTGTGATAATATAAATTACATTTTTTTTAATGAAAAAGATTACATAATGTGCACACTTTAAAAAGCTAAACCTGTCCCCTGACCAGTCATGTCCAACTTAAGAAGCTGGTACTTATCTTTGTTTCCTAGCCAAGGCAGCTTGAGTTATCCAAAGACTCTTCCATGGCCATGACTAAATGCCAAGGCCCATGGAATGTTGTTAGCTTCCCACAAAGTGGTACCTATTTATCTACTTGCATTTGCTTTCTTTTGAACTGCTACATTAGCAGAAGCTGAGGCAAGAACAGGAATTCACCCCGTCACAGGTATTTGGGTCTCAAAGTGCCAACCTCCTGGTTGATAAGCCCAGCGTCTTAAGCGCTAGGCCCCCTTACCCCCTCTAGGCCCCCTTGCCTCCTCTAGGGGTCGCCCTAATGCATGTATTACCGAAAGCAGATTCAGACATGCATTCTGAGTTAGCAGCTTCCAGGCTGTGGCTTCTCGTGAAAACAATGTCCTACTGAAACTGTGCTCTAATGAGTACTGAAAAGAAGCAATTAAAGAATAACCTTTTCTTGTTGCATTTCCAATTATTGATGTATGAAAAAATGAGATTTGTTAATGTAGATGTTTTCTTTCTCTTTGGAACAATTTAATTACACAGCCAAGTTTATCACCATTGTTAGCTGCCTTTCTGTCTGCTTCGGGAATCATGGAATCAGATTTCCCGAATGTGTGCCAACAAAACGATCTCTTATCACCCTATAATTAGGTATTTATAAATAACCTGGGCCGATGCTCATTAATTTGAAAGAAGCAGCTACTGCAAAATGTAGCATCTGGACATTGCACGTAACACTAATTGTGAATCAGGTACACTAGTTTCTCATCAGCAAAGTCAGACTCAAAGTTTGGCTTCTCATACATAGGATGTGAACAGACTGATAGATTGCCATATATTCATGATTACCATAGACTTTCTTAGCTATTTGTGTGGGCCTACCATTGGGTTAGAGGTTGCCATTCATGGCACGTGCCATGAAATCAAATGCCATAATTTTTTTTATCGCTGTGTGTATTATCAGATATATCTGGTGGTGCAGTGATTAAACTTTGCCCATTGCCTAGAATTTGATCCTACCGGGGCTCAAGTTTGACTCAGCCTACCAAGGTTGGTAAAGTGAGGATCCAGATCGTTGGAGACAATATGCAAATAATGCTGACATTGTAAACTGCCCAGAGAGTGCTGTGAAACAATATGCAGCTATATATAAGTCTAAATTTTATTGCTATCAGTTAGGGAGGTCCCGCTGCATGTGCCAAGAACCACAAATAGGCCTTGACTCACAACCATTCATTTAGAGACTGCTTGAAGTTACAATGGCATGGAAAATAATGACTTATGACTGGCGTTCACATTTATGATCATAGTAGCATATCCAGTCATGTGATTAAAATTCAGGAGATTGGCAACTGACATGTATTTACGACAGTTGCAGCATCCTGGAATCATGTTAATTGCCATTTTCAATCTTCTTAGCTAGTTGCTGATGAGCTGTGGTGGCGCAATGGTTCAAATGAAGTACTCCAGGCTACTTCTGCTAACTGCCGGCTGTCAGCAGATCGATCCTGACCAGTTCAAGGTTGACTCAGTCTTCCATCCTTCTGAGGTCAGTAAAATGAGGAACCAGATTGTTGGGGGAAATATGCTGACTCTGTAAAGCGCTTAGAGAGGGCTGTGAAGCACTGTGAAGCAGTGTATAAGTCTAAGTTCTATTGCTATTGTTATACTTGACAACTGCAGTTATTCACTTTGCAAACGTTGCAATAAAAATCAGGCATGACTCATTTAACAACTGCTTCATTTAACAACAGAAACTGTACCCCCAAATATGGTTGTAACTTGAAGATTACCTCTACAGAGTTTTATCATGTGATTCCTTGTAGCTTATTTTTTTGTAGCATTGCCTGTATGCTCTCTATCTTGAACTTCTTCTGATATATTTTTATTATCCCAAAGGAGGACAGCTCCCCCCTCCACTTCCCCAAAAGAGAAGATAAATGCAAACTGAAATCCATTGTAAGACATTGGCATTTGCCCAACTCATCAATTAGGGGTTGCTGACTCCAGTAGAAATCAATCTACCAAATCTCTCTGTTAGAAATGTGAGTTTGAGAATTAACTGAAATAATAATCACTAATTAAGGTTAACATGCTTGTAAAATAAATTGCATTGATAAAATTCATTTCTCAACCACTTATCTACAGCATATATACAGTACCTCCTTACCATATTCTACTTTAATCCATCAGAAATAGCAAACTGCAAGGCATTACAATGGGAGGAAGAATATCTTCAGGGGGAGGGGGGAGGACATAGGAAGTGAATATCTGCCTCGAGAAAGAATAGATGGAAAAATTGCCACCATTGCTTTTGTCATTCCAAATCCAATTTTGTTTTCTTTCCAATGTCTTTTCCCTTTAAATCAGGGATGTCAAACTCAAGGTCCACAGGCCAGATCTGGCCTGAAGAGTGCTTAAATCTGGCCTGCAGGGCTGGCCTAGAAATAGCAAAGAACCAGCCCGTGGGGCAAGACTCCCGCACACCCCATATTGGCTGTCAGGGTGCTGCAGGAGGCCGTCCAGCAGAAAGTGGGATATGGGGGGCCTTGTCTACCCCTACACCCCATTTGGGCTACCAGGATGCTACAGGAGGCCATCCAGGCCAAAAACAGCCCGCCCGTGCCCCATTTTAGCCAGCAAGGTGCTGGAGTAGACGTCCATCCCGTCTCCCCCACAGCCAGCTCGCAAAGAACTACAATGCTGATCCAGCCCTCGAAGAAATTCAGTTTGACACCCCTGCTTTAAATAGTTTCTATATCAATTCTGCAAATTATTCAAACATAATTATGGGATAGGGGTGGAGAGAATCATCTCTTTGTTTAAGTAAATATATTACATTTCTTTGACATTTATTAAAGATCTGTCTTTTGAACCTTACTTCCCCATGTGAAAACTGGATGAATTATTTTGCTTGGATTGGCTTGTCTGCTTCTGTTCTTATTCCTTTTTTAAAAAAAATGTTATTACAGTTCAAAAATGGTAAAATACAAAATTACAATAAAGATGAAAAGGTGGAGGTGACGAATAATGGGGAAAGTTTAAAAAGTGACATTAAAAATCAAACATGGCATTAAAAAGTTGGTATCTCCAATTTTCTTCAATATGGATAGAGTTATATAATAAAATACACTCTTACTTTAGTGCTCCTACCAGTATTCATATTCCTATTTTTCTATTGTTCTAATTTATTTCTTCCTTCCTAGAATTTGAGATGCAAATTTGCTATGCAAAACAGTACAGAAATGCGTTAAATACATTTATTCCAGTATGAAAAACAGGAGGATATATTCAAAATAGCTGCAGCCAAAATAATAAACTGCTTACTTGGTCCTCAAAGGAAAGAGCTTGGGCAACATCTCGTGGAAATCCATCAATAACAATCCCTTCTTCATCAGGAATTTGCATTAATCTTTGCTTTATCTCAGTAATTGTGGTTTCCTTGAACAGATAAAAATAACAAAAAAGATATATACTATATATTTCTGTTTCAAGAATACATTCACAAATGTTGCTGGAAAAAAACACATGCCCATATGATTGTGAAGGCTTGTTGTTGTTTTTACCTGTGGGGCTAATTCCCCAGTTGTAATTATCTTAGCAATCAGACTCCATTTTCGATTGCTGCTTGTGCTATGGATCTTCTTTCTTAACAATTCACCCACCGAGATATACTCAAATCCATAGCGTTCTGCTATTTTTAAGCTCTGGGTTCCTTTACCACTGCCGGGTCCGCCTATAGGGAAAAACAAAGGCCTTATCAAGTTTTGTCAAATTCATTGCCTGATTATCCTCTTCCTACCATTCTAAATGAGCCTTAAAGTCAAGCTTGTAGCAATCTTTCAATCATCAATAACTCGAGTTAGAATCTAGGCCAATCTTTCCCAAATGAAGGGCCTTCAAGATATACTAGAAGTCAAAGCAATAGAAGTTGACTGGAAAAAATAGCTTTAGATATCATTGAATGTATGAAGTAAGTTTATCAGCTTTTGTATACAGAAAGAGTTCATTAGTCTATCAACGCCTATGGTACTTTTCATTGTAAACACCAGAAGTGGTATTCAGCAGGTTCTGACCAGTTCTGGAGAACCGGTAGCGGAAATTTTGAGTAGTTCAGTGAACCAGTAAATAACCTCTGACTGGCCCTGCCTTCATCTATTCTCTGGCTCCCAAGTCCCAGCTGATCGGGAGGAAATCGGGATTCTGTAGTATCCTTCTGGTGTGGGGAGGGAATGGAGATTTTACAGTATCCTTTCCCTGCCACACCCACCAAGCCATACCCACCAAGCCACACCATGCCCACTATGCCACGCCCAGAGAATCGATAGTAAAAAAAATTGAATCCCACCACTAGTAAACACCGCAGAGAGAAATGACACCACCTGTTACCTTCTAGCTCCTCCGTTCTCTATTGATCTAACGATCAGCAGCTATCGGTGGCATAATTCCCTTAACGATAAGGAACTTTAGTGTGGTGTTGTACGTATAAATGGAAATGACAACAATGCACTCCTCTGTTAGGAGTTCTTGCTGAAGTGTAACTCCCAACTATAACAACCCTCATCTCATCATTTTGATGAAATGGTCACATTTTGAAGAATCCTTCCCCTACTTTGCTCAGGAGGTGCTAGGGACATTGACAGAAGATAATCCAGCTAGCAGAGCAGAAATCAGGAGCATGATTTCTCCAAAGTAGTATATATACCAGACAAGCAAAAGGAGGAGTAATAAGGAACATATTCCCAGTAATGGTGCCAGTGTCCTTAGTGTGTTTCTTTATCCTGTTAGATTTAACTACCAGATTAGATTTTATCTTTCTTACAGTTCAATCTACAGGGGTTCAGCTCTATTTGCAACTCTGTGTTTCAGGTGAAGTTTATTGTACAATATTGAAGTCTTCTACAACAAAAGCTCTGACATTCATTGACCCAGAAGCTCCATTGTTAAAAGCCAGTGCCAACATAAGAAAAATATTACTGATTTTGTTGTGGACAGCCACATTTTTTGCTTCCTTACCGATGACTAGAATGATTTTGGGTCGAGGCCTGGTTGGATCGAACACATCATATTCCTCAATAAGTTCAGCTGTTTCTGAGAGATCCGTGTCACTCTCGATGGAGAACTGGTGGATTGGAGGAAGTCGATCATATCTCCGGTATGGAAAGTTGGGGTTGTCGGGCATCACTGTAAAATATGAAATGGTAATGTCAGAAATGAGAATGGTGGTAGTATAAGAGATTATGCTAGAAACCAGGAGACATAAGCTCTAGGCCTGCTTTAGGCAAAAAGCCAGATGGGTGACTTTCTTTCAATCCTAGGAAGAAGACACTGACAAACCGCTTCTGAAATCTTGCCAAGAAAATAGAATTGACTTTTCCAGGCTATTGTCGGGAATCAAGACTGACTCAAGAGTATAAAAAGCAACAAAATATATCAGAAATATGTCTTTTTATGTTCATCAGTAATGAATAGCAGAAATATTTGATGTCTTTAGAAAAGGAATAATTGTTACCATGAGATCCTGTTTAAGTTATCTCTTTACAAATCCTTTAAGTGATACTCAACAAATCTATTAGAGAAAAACATTTACACCCTCATGTCAAATTGGACTCTTGGCGATTACATAGGTATTTCTATGTAGTTTTCTTGTAAATCATACAGATGTTAAAAACATTTTTCAAAAATCATAGTTGATGACAGTACCTACCCTGTTTCCCCCAAAATAAGATCCAGCCGGAAAATAAGCATGATTTTTCAGGATGCTCGTAAGCCCTACCCCAAAAATAAGACCCAGTTAAGATCATCAGCCAGACAGATACATTTAGTACTGTATTTCCTCCAAAAGACCTAACTGGAAAATAAGCTCTAATGCATCTTTTGGAGCAAAAATTAATCTATGACCCGGTCTTATTTTTGGGAAAACACGTTACTTTAATGTCACAATAGCAATAGCAATAGCAATAGCAATAGCAGTTAGACTTATATACCGCTTCATAGGGCTTTCAGCCCTCTCTAAGCAGTTTACAGAGTCAGCA